GCGCCTTCTTTTTCCTCGTGGGCGGCTGCGGGGGTGGGGGGCGGGGGGGCGGGGGGTGGGCGGAGCTCTCGATCTCGCGGACGCAGGAGCGGGCGTGTGCCTCAGGGCACAGCGCCCGCAGGCGCGACCTGCCGCGTACACTAGGGCCTACGTCGGCCAAGGCCCTCGGTGGCAAATCATGGGAGCCTGGTATGCCATCTCAGTTTCCTCTTTGGCATCGGTTCGCATCGATTAGCGTCTGGTGGTCGATGAGGTAGCGCCGATCTAGCGTCGGTTAGCGTCGATGTAGCGTCGATTTAGCGTCGATTGAGCGTCGGTTAGCGTCGATTCGCAAGAGCCGACAAGATGCTATGGGAGGCTCCCATGAGTTGCCACCGAGAACTCCCCACCCCCTCGTTCTCTTGCCATTGCCGATGCCGCCTTCCCGTGAGAGGCAGCACAGCCGACCCCCACTCCCAGCCAGGAGCCCCACTCCCGACCTGGTGATCCAAGGATCCCTGGCAGGGGGATGATTTTTTCTTGGGGGGGAGTTCTTGCCCCCCTCCCCTTCCTCCAGCCAGGACCCCCTGGACCACCTGGTGAAGAGTGTGGGTCCTGGTTGGCGGTTGGGGATGGGTTGTGCTGTCTTCATCCCCGCTCTCTCCTGCCTCCCCTCCTCCTCCTCCTCCTCCTCCTCCTCCTTCCTCGTCCATCCCTGCTCCTCCCTCCATCCCTCCTCCTCCTACTCCTCTGTCCTCTGTCCTCCTCCCTGCCTTCTTTGTTTTTGTTGCCGCTCTCGCGGTCTCGCCCACTGCAGTGCTCGTGGCCCCACAGTTCGACGCGGATTCTTCACGCTGCCTGGCCCCACGGATTCTCTCCGAGCCGGGTGCTGAGAGGGGCTAGACGAGCAGAGCGGCTCAGGCTGCACCGCCCGGGCTCGTGCCCTGGAGGAGCGTAGCCGTGTAGCCTCCCTCCCTCCCTCTCATCTCGTCCTTCCCCCTCCACCTCGCGGCGACCGAACACGGTCGCCCACCCACCCGTCGGCGCACCCTCCGCACCCTCCGTTCGGAGGGGGCGGAGGTGCTGGGCGTGCCTGTGGTCCGCAGGCACGGGCGTGGCGGGCGGTTCGGTCCCCGCCGCTTTCCTCTCTCCTCCTCCCTGCCCCGCCTTGCACGCTGTGCTGTTCAACACGTTCCAAAAGCGTTCCTCCTCCACCTCGTCCTCCTCCTCGTCGTCGTCCTCCTCCTTGCCCTCATCCTCCATCCTCTCTCCTCTGCCCCCACTTCTTCCTCGGCTCTCCCGTCTCCTCTCTGCCCCCATCCTCCTTCCTCCCTCCATCCTCCATCCTTCCTCCCATCTCCCTCCCCCCCCCCTTCACCTCCTCCCCCTCCTCCCGGGCCTCTCGTCTTCGCGTTGGGCCGTCACCGCCCCTCGCTCTATTATCGCTGCGAGGCGCGCGAGGATATCTCGTTCGCCCTTCCCTCCCCGCTGCGCTCGCTGGGCGCGCGTCGACGTGACCCTGAAGCGTCACTTGGAGTAAGCGATGCGATGGAAGAGGAGGTGACATATTGGGAAGAAGCGGATGATAAGGGAGGGATTAGGGATAGGGATGACGATGATGATGATGATGATGATGATGATGATGATGATGATGATGATGATGATGATGATGATGATGATGATGATGATGATGATGCAGATGATGATGATGATGATGATGATGATGATGATGATGATGATGACGATGATGAGTATGATGATGATGATGATGATGATGATGATGAGGATGATGATGCTGATGCTGATGCTGATGCTGATGCTGATGCTGATGCTGATGATGATGAGGAGGATAAGGATGATGATGATGATGGTGATGGTGATGGTGATGGCGATGAGATGATGCTGATGATGATGAGACTGAGGAGGATGAAGAGGAATTGAATGCTGATGCTGCTGCTGATGGTGGTTCTGGCGATGGTGATGGTGATGGTGATGATGACGATGATGCTGCTGCTGCTTCTGATGATAAATATGATAACGATGATGATGCTGCTGCTGATGATTATGATGTTGTGAATGCTGAAGCTGCTGATGCCGATGATGATGATGGCGATGCTGCTGCTGATGATGATGCTGCGGCTGATGATGGTGATGCTGACGATGATGGTGCTGCTGCTGATGATGCTGATCGTGCTGATGCTGCGAATGATGATGCTGATGATACTGCTGCTGCTGCTGCTGCTGTTGTTGTTGTTGTTGTTGTTGTTGTTGTTGTTGTTGTTGTTGTTGTAAGTGGTGGCGGCGATGATGCTGTTGATGATGCTGCTGATGATGATGTTGATGCTGCTGCTGCTGATGATGTTGCTGATTATGATGCTGATGCTGTGGCTGCTGATGACGATGCTGCTGATGATGCTGCTGCTGCTGATGCTGATGAAGAAGATAATGATGATGATGATGAGGAGGAGGCGGAGGAGGAGGAGGAAGAAACAGAAAAATGAGAAGAATATGAGGATGGCGTGGATGGGGATAGGGGCTGGGGGCCAGAGGGGGAAGATAAGGAGGAGCCAGAGGAGGATGAGGAAGAAGATGAGGAGGATGCAGAAGATGGGGGGGGGAGGAGGAAGGCAGAGGAAGAGGAAGGGGAGGAAGGAGCAGGATGAGGAGGAGCTGTCGTGCACGCTACTCGAGTGGACATTTCTTTGCTCGCTGATAGCGTTAGCGAGGATGATGTTGAGGAGCATGACGATGAGGAAACATACATATGCGGGATGTGGAGACGGACTGTTCTGATGATGCGGGCGAGGTGGGGGTGGAGGTGGAGGTGGAGGAGGAGAAGATAGAGGAGTGGTATTGCGGAGGAGCGGGAGGAGGGAGCAGGGGGAAGAGGACGGAGTAGAATGAGGAGGATGGAGGAGGAGAGTGGAGGAGGATTAGGGAGGTGGATCACGGTATGTTTTGCAATTTGGGTGTCTGCGGACCGCTCTCGGGTCCGGGATTGTCGAAAACGTGACTGGGGGAGAAAGCGGTCTTCGGGATGGTGGCGAGAGCTCTTCGGGTCTACGTCGTCGGCGGCGGCTTGGGATAAACGCATGCATCACCGGGCGTCATCTGGACCGCGCTAATAGGGCCTGCTCTCTTAGGAATAGGAGTCCTTCGACCCAGGCGCTCTCGGCGGAAGCCAGTTGAAGGCCTGCCAGAAGCCTTGGGCAAATCAAGCGAGGGCGTCACCGCCAGCGGAAGCTGGTGTTGGTGCGGCGGATGCCAGCAGAAGCAAAGGTGGACCCTTCAAGAGAGGCACGTGCTGGCGCCTTCCGGGTTTCTGGCGTTCACCATCTCACTGCTACCTCCGTCGCATGCACAACCGCTTCTCCATCCCAGGCTTCCGAAGCCCGTTTTTTCTGCGACGTGTGCCCTTGGAGTTCTCGCCCCCTATCCCTGGGGCGAGCTTCTTGCCGCGGGTTGTCTCTGCACGGCCCCGGAGCCCGAGAGTGGTCCCCCTGCGCTGGGCTTGCCCGCCTGCCTGCCACGGTGGGCTCGCGCGTGGCGCGAAGCCGCCGCGCAGCGACGTCGGAGATAGACTTCACCTGCCCGGACTTTCCCTGCTGTGTGTTGCTGGTGTTCTCGTCTGCCCTTCGTCCCTTCCCCTCTGCTGTGTCTTTTGTTTGGCCTGCTCCTACCCGCCAGGGTCCCTTAGTGCGAGTGCCACCAGTCAGGCCTGGTCGGTGTGCGCACGCGCGGGCTCCTCTTGGCGCGCCCGTGGGGGACCATTCTGCGGTCCGCCTCCTGCGAAGTCTGTGGCGACGTGCGCAGGCACGTGCAGCGCGCCCCTGTCCCGTTGCTGTTTCCTCGCCTCCCCCTGCTGCCGCCTCGCTTCTGGTCGTCTGTCTCTGTGCCAGGGCTCGTTCGAGCACTCTGCGCACGGTGGTCTGCGAGCTGACAGCCGCCTTCCGCTTCTCCGCTTCACGCTGCGGCGCAGCCCTGCCGTGGGCGACGTGCAGTCGAGGAGGCGGGGGAGCGAGAAAAACAGATCTGCCTCCGAGATGCCGTGGACAAGAAAGGCCAGGCGATGGGTGCTGTCCACGACGCCCCGAGGCCCGGGATCTTCCACGGGCGCGCTCGCACTCGGTGGCGTCTCGCGCGCCGCGTGCCCGGCCGTCCGCGCCGTCGCTGCCGGGCTTGCGGCGGCTGGCCCGTGCCGGAAGGCCTCCGTCGCTGCGGCCACGCGCGGAGGGTGGTGTATATATATATATATATATGTATATATGTATATGTATGTATATATATATATATATGTATATGTGTATATGTGTATATGTATATGTATATATATATATATGTGTGCATATGTGTGTGTATATGTGTATGTATGTATGTATGTATGTATGTATGTATGTATGTATGTATGTATGTATGTATGTATGTATGTATGTATGTATGTATGTATGTATGTATGTATGTATATATGTATGTATGTATGTATGTATGTATGTATATATAGATATATCGGGGGAGGGGGGGAGTCTTTTAAGACGCAGCCTCCTGCTAAGGAGCCTTCCCCCTCCCCCTACACATGGTTCATTTCTAATTCTTCGGAAGTTCTTTGGTTTTTTTGGGGCCAAGATCCTTTCATTTCTAGTTGTTCTATCCTGGGCCTCTTCCTGGCCACTAGGGGGCCAGGAACAATTAGAAACGAGCACAATTAGAAATGAGCACGATTAGAAATGAACGACGTGTACCCCCTTGTGCTCGCCGCCAATCGCTGGCACCACTGGCACCGCAGTTGCCGTCACCTTCGGCAGCCAATGGTGGGAGCCTTGTGTGCCCTTGTGGTTCCGTCTTTGCGTCCGATGGTCGATGAGATAGCGCCGATGTTGTGCCGACTTTGCGTCGGTTAGCGTCGATTCGCGTCGATTTCGCGTCGATTAAGCGTCGATTAGCGTCGAGTCGCAGGAGCAAGCAAGATGGTATGAGATGCCCCCATGAGTTGCCACAGAACCGTCATCTGACCTGCCGCGTTCGCTCGAGCTTCTTTTTCTTCCACCGTGGCGGCGAGCGAGCTCCGGGCCAGTCCTCGCCGGGATGCGGCGCCTGCGCTTCCCCGTGCTCGTGCTCGCCCTGGAGTGCTGCCAGCAGGCCGTGCGCTGCAGGATCCCCGCCCTCGTCACCTTGCTCGTCCTCCTCCTACCCCCTAAGAAGATGATCTGCGTAAGCGTAAGCTTTCGGAGCTCCGCGCAGATTTCTCGGATCGGCGCTGGAGCCCCCTGGCGGCCTCCGGCGCCGCCCCTGGAGCGCTCCGCGGGGGGTTCAGCGCAGATTCAAGAAACTCGTGCGGGCCGCCAAACATTTATATGTTTCTGCAGTTGTTTCTTCTTCTAGTCCCCCCTCAGCCTTGTCTGGGGCCGCCCCAGGAGAAACAGGTCATCGTTGCAGGGCTCCCCAGGGCATTCTCACAGCGCCCCAGAGCACCCGGGAGCGGTCGCGACGCCTGACACGTCCACTGGGCCCGCCAGCCAGCGCTCGGAGATCCCAGAGCTGTCCGCACTCAGTTCTGCTCGCATCCTGCCTGAACTTCACGATCCTGTGCCCCCTCCTCTGTGATGGGCCGATTTTCCACCACCGCTACCATAGGTAGGTAGGGGGGAGGAGGAGGAGGAGAAGGAGGAGGCGGAGGAGGAGGAGAAGGAGGAGGCGGAGGAGGAGGAGGAGGAGGAGGAGGAGGAGGAGGAGGACCTCCCAATCCTCCCTTCTCCCCCGTCCTACGTATGGTAGTGGTGGTGGAAATTGGCCCATCACTCTTCCCAGAGCTTCGACGTCCTCGTTTTCTTAAACGTCAGTACGAGGCCCCCAGACTTGCCGACATCCTGCTGGGGTTTTTCGTTTGTTGGCCTAGGCCGCTTCCGAACGATCCATGGCCTGGAACGGCCCCAAGTTGAGGAAACACACCCGAATTACCAGATCACGACGTCGAAGGTTTGGGCCCGCAGGGCGGAGGATGACGAGACGTGCCCCGCTGGAAGCCCTGGCTGTGGCGCCGGTGAAGTTGGCGGAGGCCTCGACGACGAGGACCTCTACGAGGACAAGAAGCAGTGCGAGGCCTGGGCAAGGACGTCGGGAACGGCCCAATCCCCCTGACAAGGCCCGGGCTTGCGCATCGACAGTCCCTGGAGGTCGTTCAGGTTGGTCCCAATACCAGCGGCGAGATCGAGCCCTGTCCCCGTCGCCTCATCGATCGGAACCGGAGGCGGGGGGGATGCACCATAAGGGTTCGTGGTTCAAGTCCCTCGAGCCCGCTCGCGAAGACCGAACCTCGACTGGTGTGCTGAGGATCCCCAGCATTTGGACCTGTAGACTGTGCGGTATGGGGTCCACGTGCGGCTGCCTTCAACATGCAATTGGTCCAAGGCGGTCTCAGCACGTCTGTGCCGCCTGGGGCGCTTCGCGCCTTCAAATCGGGTGTCGAAACCGCACCTCGTGTCCCGAGCCTTGGGATAGCCAGAAAACGTGACACGCTCTTCCGCGTTGTGTCAGGGGTTCTATTCTCATCTTCGTCGTCTCCCTCTCTTTTATCCGTTCTTTCTTGGACTCCTGTGGGGAAGTCTTGGGGGCCCCTTGGGCCACTTTCGGCCGTCTTGGGGCCGTCTTGGTCGTCTGGGGCGTCTCTGGCGGTCGTCGTGGGGTCGTCGAGGGGCTTTCTGAGGCCGTCTTGGGTCCCTCCAGAGGCCCTCTTGGGCCAGCTTGGGGCTCTCTTTGGGCCGTCTAGGGACCCGCTTGGGCTGTCTTGATGCCGTATTGGAGGATTCCTGGGCCTTTTTTGGGGTCCTCCTTGGGCCGTCTTGGGGCCATCTTGGAGGCCTCAAGGGCCATCTGGAGCTGAAGGAAACCCGAAAGTGTGAAGACGCGCAAATCATTTAAACACATTTGGAACATACATGGTTTGGGCCTCTGAGGCCCTGCTGGGGGTCCTCTTGCGGCGGGCCGTCTGAAGGGCCTCTCGGCCCGTCCGGAGGCCACCTTGGGCTGCCCTGGGGCTACCTTTGGGCTTACCACGCGCCTCAGAGCCTGGAGGCCACAGCCTGGCCCACCAGGTCTCAGACAAGGCCCCGACGCCGTACGCATTGGCGGTCATTCGTTTCTTCGTTCCATCCAACCCCTCCCTCTCCTGTCTCCCATCCACCCTCCCTGCATCTCTCCCTCCCTTACTTCCTCTCCGGAGCCCTTCGAAATGACCGTGATACATCGATGGCCTCCGCGGAACCCGCCAGAAAGGGTTGGAACTCTCCGCCGTCGCCCTGGTGCTCCTCCTCGTCGCGGAGGGGGCCCAGTGCGGAAGTGGGGTGGGGCGGAGGAGGACGAGGAGGATGAGGAGGAGGAGCAGGAGCAGGAGATGGAGGACCAGTGTGAATCCAAGAGTCTTCAACGATGTTGGAATAAACCCTCCCTCCACGTTCCCTCTTCATAGCCCCCCACAGCGGTTCATTTCCATTGAGGGAACTGCCTCGTTGGAAGACAACCGTTTGAAGACCCTGAAGCATGCCAAAATATGGTTCTCGGGATTGCAACGCCACAGATCAACCTAACTGCTGTGTCTTGACGATCCTGAATCGTGCCAGAACGCAATTTGGGGGATGCGAACACCGCGAATCAACATGACTGTTGCACCCACGTCATCCTGAATCCTTCCAGGACAGCACTTCTGGTACGTTGATCATGGGAATATGTGAAGCTCTTTCAATATATATATATATATATATATATATGAAAGAATGTGCGCAGCGCACAGGCGAGAGCCACATTTCGAAAAGGAGCCGCCGTCAATCCGTGAAGGTCTTGCACATTTCTGAAACGAATGTGCGCGGCGCTAGGGCGAGAACCACATGGTGAAAACGGCTCGCCCTCAATCCGTGAGACCATTGCACATGTTTAAAACGAATATGCGCGGCGCTCATGCGAGAGCCACATCTTGAAAACGGCTCGCCCTCAATCCGTGAAACTCTTGCGAGGTTTAAAAACGAATGTGCGCGGCGCAAAGGCGAGAGCCACGTTTTGAAAACCATCCGCCCTCAATCCGTGAAATTGTTGAAACGACTGTGCGCGGCGCTAAAGCGATAGCTAAAGTTTGAAAACCACCCGTCATCCATCTGTAAGTTTGTTGTCACTTTTTAAGCTTCAGAATCATACACGGTGAGGAAGTCTCAGGCGAAACGCCCGGCCCGCCCTGAAAACTGGCCTCGGGGTGCGACAGGGGAAAGTTCTTTATAAGGAAAAGGAATGGAGGAGGAGAAGGAGGAGGAGCAGGAGGAGGAGGGGGATGGGGGAGGGGGAAGGGGAGGGGCAGGAAGAGGAGGAGGAGGAGAAGGAGGAGGAGGAGGAGGAGGAGGAGGAGGAGGCACGGCGCCCAACAGTCCGATGCCCAAAAACGGGCACTGGCTGGAATCAGAAAGAGAAGCACAAAACATGATTACGTGGACCGCCTACGACTCGTCAGCAGCTTCGGTACAAAAAGGCAGTCCTACGAACGTGGCCGAAACTCGGGGGACAAATCCTGCCCCCCTACGGCAATCTGAGCCGCCGACGCGGTGCAAGCTATCGTGTCCAGCGCACTCTTGGAGTCAAAACTGTGTCTGACCTGTCGCCTCTGGGGAGGGCGGCCGGCCCTGACGACCCCGAGGCGCGAATTAAATGATTAAGTAATGGGGGCCCCTGATTTCGGGTGAAGCCCCTTCTGGACCTTGCCGACTCTCCTTCGAATACCAGCAATGGCCCGAGGCTCGGAGGGGGGGCCAGTGCAATCTACGTTGAGACCGCTCTCTCCCGCCCACCCAAAGTCTCCCGTACAGGAAGCCCCGCACTTCGTGCAGATCACGACACGGCCGTGCGCGAGAGGCTCGTGCCCTCTCGCGGAACAGCTCCAACACGGAATCTTGGTCCTCCGTGGGGATCGGCGCCGTCGGCCCCAGGACCGCATCAGCGGCCGCCAAGGCCAGGGAAACCACGGAGCCCCGAACACGACCCCGAAAATCGTGGATGACCAAGCCCGACTGCAGGAAAATTTGTCGTGAGTTCCACCTGTCGGTCGGAGAAGGGGAGCACTTGCCAGAGAGCAGGTGCGCCAAGTGCCCGTCCGTGCGGGTCACACAGGCACAGACCTTACAACGGTACTCCTTACGCGGTTCGACCCACACGAGGTCGTGCTGCACCACGCCGAGAGCATTCGCGGGCACCGGGACGGGAGGCCTCCTTACCCAGGCAGCTCGCCCGTCGTGCCAGAGGTCCAGATCCATCGCCCGAACGACGGCCCAGGACACGAATTGCAGAATGGCCCGAGCCCGTTTGAGCTCGGCTGCCAACAAATCGCAACAACCCTGGGAAACCGCGTGTTGGTGGGCCCCGAGCTTCGCGAACCAGTCGGCCCACATGTTTCCCACCCACCACCTGAGGGGGATCCCCAATTCCGGGGCCTCTAAGGTTTTGTGGGCGGGGACCCAAGAAACATTGGGACCTGAGGACCCGCGCACCTGAACAAAGTTGCGCCAGATTCGAGCGTGCTTGCCCCTCGCCGACTCGAGAGACCGATCCCACGACGACCCCTCGACGACCAACGACGACAAGTCCGCGACGACGTGTTCGATGCGGCGAGGGGCGTGCTCAAGCACGCGAAACACTGCCCACCGCTCGGCTCTCCCGACCGTCTGGATGCCGGGGAGGGCGCCGTACATGGCGCGTACGGGGAGGAGGTGGTCGTTTAACTGCACCGCCGCGTACTCCAGATTTCGTAATAAAAGGGAGGGGGTCTGGACCCTCCAAGACAAGCCATTTCAGACCCCCCCCGTGGGAGAACCCTCCAAAACATCGTCCCCAGACCCCCCCAGGCCCTCCAAGATAGCCTGGAAGAGACCCCTCCCCGAAATGAGACCCCCCTCCCTTTATTACGAAATCTGGAGTAGCTACAACGCGTCACCTCTGGCATAGCGCTCGCAAGGCCCGAACCATCTGTGCAGGCTTCGGGGCCCCAGCGATCGGGAACAGAGTCGCCCCGAACCAGAACTGGCAAAGCAGATGCAGCGGGCGGCACAGAAAGAGCGTGCGGCACGGGGGCGATACCGTACGCGCACTCAGTGGACTCCCAATTCTCCGCGGCTCCGAGGTCGACCAGCTGCTGCCTCGTCTCCAGCGTCGCGTCGGAGATCTCGGGCAGGGCAGGCTGGTCGACGGGCTGGGTGAGCAGGCCAGGGCACTGGCACCACATGTGGCCGTAGGTGCCCTCGGCGGCCCCGCAAGCCCGGCACTTCGGGTCGCCGACTCCCTCTAGCGCCATGCGACGCTCGGGCGTGACGCAGCGCCCCGACCATAGCGTCTGGATGGCGCCCAGCTGTCTGGCGGGCAAGTCCCGCAGGCCCAGGCGAAGGCCTCTCATCCACAAACGCCCGTCTGACAGAGGAAGGTGCACGTGCTGCGCCAAGCGGGCACCCTGCCAGCGCTGGATGCCCAGGAAGAGGTGGTGGCGCAAGTCCTCGGGGCAGACCTGCAGCAAGCTGAAGACCGTGCCGATGTCCGAGCGGATCTGCGTGGACGAGACCATGTCCCATCCCAGGCGGCGCAGCGACAGCCAGGTCGCCGCGATCGGGCCCTTGGCCAAGGACCAAGACGGCCGCTCCAGCACGTCGGCCTCCAACGCCAGCCAAGCTCGCTGCAGCCTCGCAGGCGGGACACGGTTGTCCCAGAGCCAGGCCGCGTAGCGGAGCACCAGCGGCACCGACGCCTCGAAAATGGGGTCGTATCTCGCGTTGGCCTGCGAGGCCAAGTAGGCGGTCACTCCTCCTCCACCGGTGCTCCAGCCCGCCAGCACGGCGGCCGAGTTCCGGAGGAGCCGCAAGCGGCCGTCGTCGACGCCCGAGACCCCGGCGCCGTGCAGCACCGAGGGCGACAAGCCTGTGCTCCAAAGGTGCGCAACCTTGCGCCCCGCGCCCTTCTGCAAGATGCGGAGCCGTCTTCGGCGCGCCTGGAGGGCGCTGATTCGGGAGTCGGCCTGCTCCCGCCGTATCCGTGGGCCCACCAGGTCGTGGCCCAGGTTGCGGATGCACTTCCGCAGAAGCAAGCCCAGGGAGCGGGCCTTGTCGGCGAACCGCTTCTGGAACCGCCCGCGGTTGAAGATCAAGCCCGATTTGGACGGCTTGACTCTCAAGCCGAGGCCGAAGACGCACTCCGAGAAATCCCGCGCGGCTGTCTGCAGGTCCGACGCGTCAGCGTCGGCGGACCCCACGAAGTGCAAAGTGGTGTCGTCCATGAGCTGGCGGGGCGTGATGGACGGGCTCCGCTGTGAAAGCCGCCGAATGGTCCTGTGCGTCAGCACGAATAGCAGCGTCGGCGCGTGCGAGCAGCCCGCCAGCACGCCCTGGTAGACGATGGCATCCTGGCTGAGGCTCACTCCGACCCTGATCCGCCGCGGCTGCCGGTAGAGTGAGATGAGCATCCACGCCAATCGCATCGGGAACCCAACCTGCTTGGCCTCGTACATCAACTGGGCCACGTCGTTCATGTCGAAGCATTTCATCAAGTCGACTATGTACACAATGCTCTGCTCACCGAGAAGCGTCGCCATCTCGTGGTGGAGGTTCAAGTCGAACGTGCAATCGGACGAAGTGAATCTCGAGCGGTTCCTTCACACCTCATCGGAGTAATGGTCCCGCTCCCAAGCCAAGCCCAAGCGCCGCCGCAAGCGGCCCCAGGAGGAGGAGGAGGAGGAGGAGGAGGAGGAGGAGGAGGAGGAGGAGGAGGAGGAGGAGGAGGAGGGGGAGGAGGAGGAGAGGAGGAGGAGAGGAGGAGGAGGGAGGAGGGGAGGAGGAGGAGGAGGAGGAGGAGGAGGAGGAGGAGGAGGAGGAGGAGGAGGAGGAGGAGGAGGAGGAGGAGGAGGAGGAGGAGGAGGAGGAGGAGGAGGAGGAGGGGGGAGGGGGAGAGGAGGGGGAGGGGGAGGGCGAGGGGCAAGGGGAGGGGGGGGGGGGGGAGTGGGAGGTGGAGGGGGAGGGGGAGAGGGGGAGGGGCAGGGGAGGAGGAGGGAGGAGGAGGAGGAGGAGGAGGAGGAGGAGGAGGAGGAGGAGGAGGAGGAGGAGGAGGAGTTTCTGGCGACGCCCGAGGGCCTGCGAGTGCCAGCTGAACTCCAAGTTCATGCTGACGAAGTGCGCCCGGAGCTGCAGGCGCCGTTGGCGGGCCTAGACCACGCCTTGCGTTAAGTCGAGCGTGCCCCTCTACAGGAGGAGTACCCGAAAATAGTTAGATGGTCAGGGGGCGATTTGTTTGCAGCATTTTTTTGGCCATTTGGGAATATTTGTTTGACTGTTCATAATTCTCTTGCACAGGGTGTTTAGAGCTCCGACCACTTTATTTCAACCCATTCCACCAGCCAGCGTGCCCCCAGCGCGCCCCCGTCTCCCCCGCCCCATCCCCCCACCCACCAGCAAGCCCGCCCCCTCCGCCCCGACCCTTCGATTTCGGCACGCCCCCCCCCTCATCTCACGCGCTTCCTCCTTATCCCCCCCCACCCACTGGCCAGCGCGCCCCCTCCGCCTTTATTTCGGAACGGCCCCCCCCCACCCACTCAGACCACCATCCCCCCACCCACCAGCCAGCGCGCCCCCTCCGCCCCGACCTTTTTATTTCGGCACGCCCCCCCCCCACCCGCGCGTCCCCTCTGCCCCCCCCCCCCCCTACCCACCAGCCAGCGCGCCCCCGCCGCCCAACCATCTTATTTCGGCACGGCACCTCTCCCTCATCCCGCGCGCCCCCTCCGCGCCCCCCCCACCCCCCTCAACGTCCTCCCCGCCCGCCGCGCCCCCTCCTGATCCCCCCGCCCACCAGCCGGCGCGCCCCTCCGCCCCGACGTTTTTTATCGGCACGGCCCCCCCCACCCCGTCCTGCGCGCCCCTCCGCACCCCCTGCAGCTGCCAGCCAGCGCGCCCCCCCTTGCCTCGACCATTTTATGTCGGCACGCCCCCCCCATCCCGCGCGCCCCCTCCGCGCCCCCCCCGCCCGCCAGCCAGCGCGCCCGCTCCGCCCCGACTTTTTTATTATCTTGCACAGGGTGTCTATAGCTCCGGCCACTTTATTTCGGCACGGCACCCACTGCATCATCCACCCATTCCACCAGCCAGCGCGCCCCCAGCGCGCCCCCATCTCTCCCGCCCCATCCCCCCACCCACCAGCTAGCGCACCCCCTCCGCCCCGACCCTTTTATTTCGGCACGGCCCCCCTCATCCCACGCGCCCCCTCCGCATCCCCCCTACCCACCAGCCAGCGCACCCCCTCCGCCCCGACCCTTTCATTTCGGCACGCCCCCGCCCCCCCATCCCGCGCGCCCCTCCGCATATCATTGACAGGATTTGCATCATCATTCTTGATATTTTCATCGTCATCATCATAATCATCATAATCATCATCATCATCGTCATCATCATTATCATGATGAACATCATCATTATCATCATCAGCAGCATCATGATCATGATCACCTTCACCACTGGATTATGGACATCGTCATCATCATCGTCGTCACAGGCATCGGCGCCGTCATTGGCCTTGCCGTCGTCGTGGTCATCGTCGTCGCCACCACATATATTATTATACTCACTGCCGTTGTTGTCGGCGTCGTCCTGATATTGTTCTTTGCCCGAGTCCCCTACCCGCACTGATGTGTGCCCGCGCGTTAGCGCGGCCTCTAATACGTGCTGGGATGTCCCCATCGGTGAACGCCATCGCGGCCGCATCAGTTGTGCCAGGTCAGCTGGTCGATCTGCGCTCGAGCGTGCGCCCGCCAGTGCAGCCGTCGAGATGCACTGGCAAGCCCCGCTCGGGAGCCGCAATCGTGGCTGAACTGCTTTTGGCGAACAAGTTGCGGGTGGATGGGTGGGATGTTCGCACGGGCAGTGGAATTGATGACTTCAAGTTGATCAAATTCTGGCTGTTGCACTCCGTAGGTTGTTCCCGTAGACCGCGCCTCATAGTTGCTCCCCACAAATTGCGCCTCACGTATTCAACGTATGTTGGATCACATCGTTTGCACCCCCTTGGTAGTGTCTTTCGTAGCACCCCATATCCCATGTATTGTCTTGGGCCCCACAGCTTGCGCCCCGTTGGCTTCATTTCATGGGATGCACCGCGTAGGTGTGCCGCCACCACTGAATCGCTGTTTGGGGCCCGCGCGTTGGTCTCATCGAAACACTTGTCATGCCCGACCGGGAACATGAAGTTCGAATGCGCCATTGAGACATGAGGTCTTCGTGATTCCACGACGCGGTGCGTGTTTACGACCTAGGTTGTTGGAACAGAGGTGGGAAAGGAATGGGAGGGTTTTCGATGGCTTGGGAGGCCGTTGGGGTATTTCATGGCATTCGGCCCATCCCTCCACCGTGCCTGGGTTGTTGGTCAGAGTCCTCAGGGATGCTTTTTGAGGTCTCTTCGGGGCGCTCTCGGGCGCCTGTTGAGGGCAGTTTTGGTGGGGCCTTTGGGGAGCCTCTTGGGGGCCGCTTGGGAGCCTCTTGGGGGCCTCGTGAGGTTTCCTGGAGGCCTCCTGGGGGCCTCTTGGGGGCCTCCCGGGGCCGAGGACTTGACATGTCCACTCAGGTCCCCCGTCTGGGTTCCCTCTTGGAGACGTCTTGGGGGCCTCTTGGGCCGTCTTGGGCGCCTCTTGGGCCGTTCTGGGGCCCTCGTGGGCCGTTTGGGGGCCATCTTGGAGGCCTCCTGGGCCGTCTTGGAGCATCGGGAAGCCGAACAGGCGAGAATGCCAAAATGTTTCAACCATCTATTCAACAACGCTGCTGTTTGCCTCTTGGGGTCCTCTCGGGAGGCCGTTTGAAGGCCTCTTCGGGTGTCTTTGGGGGCATCTTCTAGGGCCGTCTTCAGGCCATCTTGGGCGTCTTGGAGCGATCTTTCCCCGACTCGGGGCCGTCTCGGACCATCTCGGGGGCCTCTAGAGGGGCCCTGCTGGCCCATCTCGGGGCCTACTCGGGCCCGAGAAAGTAACGTGGCACAGCGCGACGGGCCCCAGTGGCCACGCGACGCGCCCCAGAGGGATTTGGCAATGCTGGGTTTGGGCCTTCACAGAATCCACGGGACTGAGGGCTGAGGCTCCATGGGGATCCAACAGGGGACCTGACGACACTCAAACTCGTGCCTCTGGGGCACGGTGGCGGATTCTTAGTGGGAGGTAGAATTTGGGAGGTTGAGGCGGACCCAGCGGTGCCAGAAAGGACCCCCTCAAACGCCAAGAAAAGCACACACGTCGAACCCCCTTTAAGAGAAGAGTAATGATGAGGAGGAGCATTTCCTCCTCTTTGTTCTCCTCCCTGGAGGTTCACAGAGGGCTATGGAGATCCCCGGATGTCACGCAAGTTCTGAGCCTTCTTCAGGAGGCCCACCAATTCTTAAACCATTCAACCTCGGTCCTCGATCTTTTTCCAGCGTCCTCTTGCTCTTGTTGCTTCTCATCATCATCTTCTCCCTCCTTCTCCGCCCCCTTTTCCTCCTCCTCATCCCTCTCCTCCTCGTCACGGAGCTTCAGGCTGCACGGAGACAGCTGCATCGACAAGGACCATAGCTGCACGAAGGTGACCCTCAAGAAGCGGTGCACGCCAGAACAGTGGAGCGTCTGTCCCAAGATCTGTAAGCTCTACCAGGAGGAGAGGAAAAAAATGCACATGGCTCTCGCCACATCATCCCGCCCTTTCCCTTACGGGTAGCTCCTCGTCGCGACACGAAGCGCCTGGGTAGGGCGGGCCGTGCGCTGCGCTGGAAATCTCCAGCAGCGACGCGGAGGGATGGCGAGTCCTGTTCAAGGCGTGGCTCCCGCTCTCGTGCCGCGCGCATGTGTCTTACACGTCTTGAAATGCACAAGTGTTGAGGTGAGGCGGTCCCCAACATGTGGTTATCGTCTTTTTAAGCCACGCAGGTGCGAATGATACGCCTCCAGCACCCACACGGATGGATGAGCGGTGGTGGTGAAACGTGTGCTTGTGGCCGTACGTCTTTCAAAGATTTTCACAGCTACGTGGATGGAGGACGATGCCTCATAATCAAAGCTGGTCCCATGGAACATCTGTTTTTTGTTTTAGTGGCATCATCGACATGTGCAACGGCTGCTCGGATGGAGAGTTGCTCATGGTGGTCTCAGATGGTCCTTCCTCGCAAGATAACACGTGTGCACCAGGGTCTTGCTTGGTACGTCCTTGAATGTTATGACTGTGTGCGTTGATATCTCTCGAGGCTGTACGATGGAGGGCCGCTTGTTTCCAAACTGGGGCCCGCGATGGACTGGCAGGCTCGTGAGTGAGTGACGTTTAAGGGGGCGTTGCCGTGGCGCGAGTGAGTACCAATCGGGACTGAGAAAGGGGGATTCGGGACTGGATGGTGTATTGTAGCATCGTTGATGATTGCATCTTGAGTTTACTCAGGTCCTTCTCCGCCTCCTCCTCCCGTCTCGCCAAGCTCGGCTCTGTCCTTGTGGTGTCGCGCCGCCGCTCGCCGGTGATCTCGTCCCACGCCGCCTGCAGGCTTCGGTGGCGTCTTTTCTCGTCAGGACGGCTGGTCTCGCTGGTTGTCGCTGCGCTCGGCCGCCGCTCTCCGCTGGCGCTCTGGGGGTGGCTACAGCCTCTTCTGCCGCCGCCTTTCCTCGCCTCCCTCTGTCGTGCACATCCAGTCGTCCGGCGGCTCTTGCGCCCTCTTCCGCGTTGACCGGGCTTGGCCTGCCGGAGTCGTGGCATCAGCCTTTGCAATTGTGGAGCGCGGCTGGGGACACTGACACCTCTCTCGCTCCTCGTCCTCCTCTCTGCCTTTCTGTCCCTCTTATCTCCGCCGCGCGGAGTCTGTTCCTTCGGCCTGACGGGCCGCTTCCGCTTCCTTCCTCACCTGGCCTGGTCTGCCACTGGCGCTTGTTTCTCTGCCCCCCTTGGCCGCTCCACTCCCGCCACTTCGCTCTGTCCCGCAGCACCGCATGATTTTTTCGACCCCAGGTCTTCAAGGCGCGCATGAGGGAGACAGCCATGATACTTCACAAGGCAGTTCATGACTTCGAGCGCAGCCCGCCATCGAGACTGCTCGCCGCTTGGATTCTTGGGCGCGGTCGCTGGCGCAACCGTCGCCGCCACGGTCGCACTTGCCTCCTCGCCGCAGGCGTTGCTTGCCCGCGCTTTCCCTCAGTTGGTCACGCTTCTCTTCGCTGCCTGTCCGCTGTTCGGTCGGGGTCCCCTCCTTTCGCACGCCGTCCTCAAACCAGTTCGGCGTACCCATCTTCAATGCAGAGTGCGATTCATATGTTCGCTTCCCGTGCATATTCTATCACGACGGTGATGTTACATCGCCGGCGGGCGGAGGAAACTCTGCGTGAGGGTATGTGTGTGTGTGTATGTGAATGTTTGTTCGTTTGTGTGTGCGTGTGATTGCTGTGTGGAGTTGTTCCTCCTCTCCTTCTCCTCCCCCTCCTCTCAGCCTTCCCTTTCCCGTTCAGGCCTTCTGATTATCTTCATAGCCTCCTTGTCCTCGTAGCTTACTCTTCTTACTCCTCAGGCGCATACTGCACGTGCCCAGTGACCCTACAAGGAGTCGGCGGATAAGGAGTGGGCAGAAGAAGATGCCAGTACAAGTGGACAGACGGACGGCGGATCTGAATAAAAAGACCAAGCTCGACGAGAAGTTCCAATACGGCAAGCCGAAAGGCAAGTGCGAGCGAAGGGAGACCCCTGGTGGGTTGCAAGACACCTCGGTACCCGCGATGTTCAAGCGTATCGAGGAGAGTGAGTGGGCTCAGAAGTACGAGCCGAAGGTTCTCTCCCGCGACCCGTGGATCATGTATATCGACAAGTTCTTGACTGACCAGCAGGTGGACGATCTGCTTGCGGCGGTGAACGAGAGCGGCGTCCCCTTTCAGCCCTCTTTCGAGCTTCAGGCGAACATGTGTAATAATCAGAGTGAAGGGGGCCGAGCGGTCATCCACTGTCCCTGGGTGCGTGGCTGAGGTGGAGTTCCGCGGTGCGGGTTGCTGTGGTTGTTGTTGTTGTTGTTGAACATTATTTATTCTAAAGAATAATTATTGTTGGGCCCCCTGGTGCGCGCCCCCCCTGCGCCGCCTAGGCCGCAGCTACATTTTCATCATTTTCGTGAGGAAGCCTCAGAAAAGAGGGTGTGTACAGGATCCGGTTGTTTTGTTGTAATCCGCTTTCCCTTGCAAAAAACAATAGAAAATGACATTTCTTGTTCTAATATAATCAAATTTCAAGAATCCCTTGCAAAAAATAAGGTAAAGTGGACATTCGCGCGCGCAAGACGAAATCCTTCCAAAACCTTAGTGTTCGCAGCGATTTTAACATAAAAACATCAAAAACCAATGGTTTTTCAACAAAAAATTGTCAAAATCTCATCCCGCGCGCTCTTGCGGATTCGTAGGAAACCCAACACTTTTTAAACATTTCTGTCAAACGGGCTTTTGCGAGCAACTTTTTCGAACTTCTGCGACAACGGTTGCGCACCTGCCAGGGCCATCATCCCTGTCAAATAATACCATGCGGGACACATTCGTTTTTTCTTCGCGCGCGCACGCCGAAATCTCCAAAAACCCATCATGTACCATATGCATCATATGCAACAGATGTTCTGTGGAAGGCTTAACAACTTCTGTGGGTTAACAAGGCTTAACAACTTCTGTGGGTGTACGAACGTAGGCTTAACAACTTCTGTGGGTGTGTACTCCACGCCAGTGTAGTAGCCACGGTCGTCCGCAGGCCACGAAGTGAAGTGTCCGAACGTCATAGGGCGGGAAGCTGGGTGTGGGTGGTGGCGAAGAGTCGTGTGGATATTTGGTAGAGCTTGCACTGCCCCCCCACAAAGTGGGGGTATTGGCTGGCGTCGCATGAAAACCCTGGCACTGGTGAGAACACTGAGCGTTCGGGTAAAGTGATTGTTGTTGTTGTTGTTGTTGTTGTTGTTGTTTTTGTTGTTGTTGTGGTTGTTGTGGTTGTTGTGGTTGTGGTTGTGGTTGTTGTTGTTGCTGTTGTTGTTGTTGCTGTTGCTGTTGCTGTTGCTGTTGTTGCTGTTGTTGTTGTTGTTGTTGAGTTGTTGGTGCTGTTGTTGTTGTTGCTGCTGTTGTTGTTGCTGTTGCTGTTGCTGTTGCTGTGGTTGTCGCTGTTGCTGTGGTTGTGGCTGTTGTTGTTGTTGTGGTTGTTGTTGTTGGTGTTGTTGTTGTTGCTGCTGTTGTTGTTGTTGTGGTCGTTGTATTTGTTGTTTGTGGTGGTGTTGTTGTTGTTGTTGTTGTTGTTGTTGTTGTTGTTGTTGTTTTTGAGTTGGTGTTGTTGTTGCTTCTGTTGTAGTTGTTGATGTTGTTGTTGTTGCTGCTGTTGCTGCTGCTGCTGCTGCTGTTGTTGTGGTTGTTGTTGCTGCTGCTGCTGTTGTTGTTGTGGTTGAATATTCATTTCTAGAGAATAAGTATTGTTGATCTCCAGAAACGGTTCCGGGCGCTTTCGCCTCGACGCCGGCTACTTTTTCTCTGAAAGCGAGGCTCCGGCTCGAGCGTTGGCTTGATCCTAAAAGTGCGCCCTTGGAGGCCCAGCTACGACAACAACGGCTCCCGCTCATACTCCCTCACAATTTACTTCGAGACACCCTGGCCAGAGATGCCTCCGAACTCAGAAACGGCGCTCTCGCTCGAGGCTTCCTCGCAATTCAATCAAGTTGGCGGGGGCCCAGCCACGACGACAAAGGCTCCTGCTTGATACCTCCTCACGATTTACTCGAGAGCCTCTGGCCAGGAAGGCCCCCGAAGTCAGGAACTGCGCTCTCGCTCGAGACTTCCTCATGATTCAGTCAAATTGGTGGAGGCCCACATGCGACGACAAGGGCTCCCGTTCGATACTTCCGGAAGACGTATTCGCAAAGGCCCTTGGCAAACGAGGTCCTGGCGCGCTGCCCACTGAGGCCTCCAACACACAACCCATTGAGGCTCAGAGTAAGCCCACAGGGACCGTAGCATGCTGCCCGCAGGCCCTCCGGCACAGCCCACATAGGCGCCAAACGCGTCCACAGAGGCTCCCCCGCGCTGCCCAGAGGCCCCAAGCGCGCCCACAGAGGGCCCAGCGCGCTGCCCACTGAGGCCCCCGACACAGCTCACAGAGGCTCCAGTTCACAGAGGCCCCAAGCGTGGCCACAGAGGCCCCAGCGCGCTGTCCACTGAGGCCCGCCGGCACAGCCCATAAAGGGCCAAACCCCCGCTCCAAGCGTGCCCACGGAGGCCCCAACGCGCTGCCCACGGAGGCTTCCCGTTCCACTGAGGCCCCCGACACACCCCACAGAGGCCCCAGCCCACAGAAGCTCCGAGCGCGCCCACAGAGGCCCCCGCGCGCTGCCCACTGAGGCCATCCGGCACAGCCCACAGAGGCCCCAAGCGCGCCCATAGAGGCCCCAACCCACACACGCCCCAAGCGCGCCCACAGAGGCTCCCGCGCACCGCCCACTGGGGCCCCCGACGTGCCCACGGAGGCCCCAGCGCGCTGCCCATTGAGACCCCGACTTCCTACAGAGGCCCCACACGCGCCCGCAGGGGCTCCTGCCTACAGAGGTCCCGAGCGCGCCGAGGCCCCCACAGGTCCCAGCGCGCCCACAGAGGCCCCAGTCCACAGAGGCCCAAAAGCGCCCACAGAGGCCTTGAGCGCTCACAGAGGCCCCAGTCCACAGAGGCCCAAAAGCGCCCACAGAGGCCTTGAGCGCTCACAGAGGCCCCAGCGCGCTGCCCACTTAGGCCCCAGCCCACAGGCCCTAAGCGCGCCCACGAAATCTCCAGCGCGCTACCTACTGAGGCCCCCCGACAACGTCCACAGAGGCTCCGCGCGCGCCCACAAAGGCCCCAGCCCGCAGAGGTCCCGAGCGCGCCCACGGAGGCCCCCGCGCGCTGCCCACTGAGGCCCCCCGACAAAGCCCACAGAGGCCACAAGGGCGCCCACAGAGGCCCCAGCCCGCAGAGGCCCCGAACGCGCCCAGAGAGGCCCCAGCGCGCTGCCCACTAAGGCTCCCGACGCAGCCCACAGAGGCCCCAGCCCACAGAGGCCCCAAGCGCGCCCACAGAGGTCCCAGCGCGATGGCCAGTGAGGCCCCCCGACACAGCCCGCAGAGGCCCAAGCGCGCCCGCAGAGCAGAGGCCCCAGCCCGCAGAGGCCCCAGCGCGCCCACAGAGGCCCCCGCGCGCTGCCCACTGCGGCCCCCGACGGAGCCCACTGAGGCCCCAGACGCGCCCACAGAGGCCCCAGCCCTCAGAGGCCCCAAGCGCGCCCACAGAGGCTTCCCCGCGCTGCCCACTGAGGCCCCCGACGCAGCCCACAGAGGCCCCAGCCCGCAGAGGCCCCAAACGCGCCCACAGAGGCCCCAGCGCGCTGCCCACTGAGGCCCCCCGACAAAGCCCACAGAGGCCACAAAGACGCCCACAGAGGCCCCGAACGCGCCCACAGAGGCCCCCGCAAGCTGCCCATTGAGGCCCCCGACGCAGCCCACTGAGGCCACAAACGCGCCCTCAGAGGCCCCAGCCCGCAGAGGCCCCAAGCGCGCCCACAGAGGCCCCGGCGCGCTGTCCACTGAGGCCCACGACGCAGCCTACAGAAGCCCCAGCCCGCAGAGGCCCCAAACGCGCCCGCAGAGGCCCCAGCGCGCTGCCCACTGAGGCTCCCCAACGCAGCCCACAGAGGCCCCAAGCGCCCACAGAGGTCCCAGCCCGCAGAGGTCCCATGAACGGCGCTCTCGCATGAGACTCCTTCCAAATTCAATCAAGTTCGCGGATGCCCAGCCGCGACGACAAGACTCCCGTTCGATATTTCCTCGCGATCTGGGATGCCCTGGCCACAGAGGTTCCCGAACTCAGGAACAGCGCTCTCGCTGTGGACATCCTCACAACTCAGTCAAATTAGTGGGGACGCAGCCGCGATGACACGGGCTGCTGCTCGATGCTTCCTCGCGATTTGCTCCGAGAGGCCCTCTCGCGTGGTCCATCCTTCTTTTTCCCCGTCCGTCCTCCCTTCCCTTGTTTTAGGGGTTGCGCTAAATGTGCGCGGCAGGTAAGGAAGATATACCCCCGAGGGGGTACGGTCGAAGACAAAGAGGGCGGGTATCGAGGCTTTGGGATATACGTATTGCGTGGCACGCGATCAAGTAAGAAAAAGCTGTCTTAACATGATTGTTGTCGATGATGTTGTTGTTTTGTTGATGTTGTTGTTGTCGTTGTCGTTGTCGTCATCGCCGTCGTCGTCGTCGTTGTTGTTGTTGTTGTTGTTGTTGTTGTTGCTGTTACTGCTGTTGTTGTTGTTGTTGTTGTTGTTGTTGTTGTCGTCGTCGTCGTCGTCGTCGTCGTCGTCGTCGTCGTTGCTGCTGCTGCTGCTGCTGCTGTTGTTAATGTTTTGTTGAATTTAACTCCCAGACAATTATTATTGTTGGCCCCGTAGATCCGCCCTGGCGCTCTCGCCCAGGCTCCAGCTGCGTTTCCTGTGAAATCGAGGCTCACGATCAGGCGTTTCGGGGTTTCGCCAAACTGGCCCCCCACCACCAACAACAACAACAACAACAATAACAATAACAATAACAATAACAACAACAACACCAACAACAACACCAACAAAAACAACAACAACAACAACAACAACGACGACGACAACAACAACAACAGCGCTCCGGCTCGATATCTCTTCCTTTTTTACTCAGGCCCGGTGCTCTTGCTCGCCGCCGAAAACCGCCCTGCCCACCAAACCAGCGCTCCGGCTCGATACGTCTTCCCCTTTTACGCAGGATCGGCGCTCTCGCCTCGGCGCCGAAAGCCGGCTTTTCCACCAAACCAGCGCTCCGGGTCGATACTTCCTTGCCTTTTACGCAGGATCGCTCGATGGTCGCACCTGGTGGAAAAGTTGAAAACCAGTTGTCTTCTTAGGGATTCGCACGAGCACGCGCGCACCTCTTTAAGTATAGCGTTGCACACTCGTTTTTGTGTGCCAAACATGTTTCCAGGGCGCTCGATCTTGAAATCCTCAGGACCCCAATGTTTTTTTTGACGGATTCCGGCATCCGCACGCGACGACGCGCGCGTGCGCATTTCGTCCCATATTTTGCGAAGGATCCTTGAAACGGATGGTTTTTGATGAACGACTGCGCGCGCATGCTATTATTTGATTAGGATGGGGGGGGACCGTGCACACGTGGGATGGTATGTCTTCATAGTTCGAATGAGCTGTGGGGCACCATCATATGCCAGCTGCGTTTTCCCAGGGATGTATCGGTAAACGTGGGGTGGAGAGGGTAGATCCGAATCCTCTATCTGGAAGGAGAATCGATGTGACGCAAGTTGTTTTGGTTCGCAGTGACTTGTCAATTCGACTGCTCGCGCAATCACCCCGCCCACCCGCCCGCAACCCCGTTTGCAAAACCCATGCGGCGGCGATTGCGATGACTGCTTGGCGCTGGTCGGCGCCTCTCTGCAGCCATGCTAGCGGGCGCAGGGTCGCGCGCGCACTGGCCACCTAGTCTGCCGCGACCAACGCGGCCGCGGTGGCGCTGACCGCTGGGGACTTCCCAGCGCGTCTCGCAGGCCGCGCTGACTCGCGGGCAGTTTAATGCGAGTCCGTGACTCGGGCGGGCGCGGCATCATGGCGAAGACGACAACGGCAAGCACGATGATGATTGCATCTGTCGGTTACGACGATGATGACGGTGAGGAGGGCAAGGCCAATGACGGCGCCGATGCTGATCACGCCGGTGACGATGATGGTGTCCACGTGTCGACGATGACGATTTTGGAACGATTTCGTCATGCGAGCGCGGCCGACGGGCGCGAGTGGCCCGCATGGTGTGATTTGACAGAGGTCGTGCCCCCCCCCCAGCACGCGCGCAAGGGCGTTCGAATGATTTCGGCATGCGCGCTCGAGATGCCCGTGTGGTCGCGTTTGATGGACGTATTGAGAAAATGGTGTTTTCAAGAATGCGCAAGAGCTCGCGCACGTATTTCTTGTTTAGAAGTCATGTTGCACAGCCATGTGTTTTGTATGATGGCGGCACAGTCGATTTGAAATCTTTACGCAGCACAAGCTTTTTGAAAGATTTCGGCAATCGCACGGGACGACGCGCGCGTGTGCACTTGGTGTCTTGGTCGCAAAATGATGTTTGCAAGCTGAGCACTTTGATGAAAGAGTGTGCGCGCATTTTTTCGGCAAAGGCTGGGACAGTATGTATTCATATTCAGAACCAACGATGGGGCATAATCGCATGGAAATTGCACAACCTAGAAGGGGGGTCGATAATCCTGGCCCCAGGGTGGTGGTAGATCCTATTTCATTTTCGCAAAGGAGAGTCCATGTGGTATCATCTGTGTGGTGCAAGTGTGCGAGGCCGCGACGAGGTTGCGACGGGGCGGCGACGGCGACAACATGAACGCCAAACCGACGCACAGGCCCAGACGATGGCCGGCGACGGGTCGTCGACGGCGACAACATAGCCGCCACACCGACTCACTGGCCCAGTTTTTTTTTGTTGTTTGACAATAAGCATGGCCCCTAAGGGCAAACACAGGTGTGGGGAACAAGTAGCCCGAGCATCGGGCAGCGAGCGCATGTGTTGCTCGCCCCCACAGGCGGGCCACTCTCAGAGGCGCAAGTCCGAGTCCCTGTTTTGCAGCGTGCCGAAGTGCTTCCGGGACCCCAGGATCCTGGCGGTGCACAGCGTGGCCAGTAACGTCACGGGCCCGCGGCGCCGCACAAAGGGGGGCAGGGCGAGGGGGGCGGCCCCTGGGCGCGAGGCCCCCGCCCCCCCCATAACACTTGTTTTGGCCCGCTGCGGCGGCGGGCGCCGGCGTGGCAGGTCTGCCGGCGGGCCGCGCCGCGCCGCCCAGAAGCAGTCGTGCCTCGCTTTGGTTTCTTGGGGGTGCCGTCGCGGCTGTCGCCCCCTGGTCGGGCGACGAGATCTGTACATATCCACTGTCGCCCTACTTGGGGCGGTGCCCCCCTCACCAAACACATACGCTGAGCAGCGATCGCAACCTGCAAAACGGGAGGCCTCCCGCTCGCCCCGTCCCCGTGGCCGCGCCGCCGGATCAGGCCTCCACCTGCTCAACCACGAGTACATGCAGGTCCTGAAGTATCGCAGCGGCGACTTCTACGTCACCCACCAGGACGCGCACCGTGCGGGGGCTGGGAAGGGGGGGAGGTCTCTGGGGGATCGCCATTACTTCCCCCCTCTCGCCTGCCCGCCCTCTCCTCCCCCCTTGACCCCCCTCACGGCCGCAATCAGCGGCCTCGCGCGCCAGCAGGGCTTTGTGAGACATCTTGCTTCGGTTTATCATGCGTGACTTTTTCACGTTAGGCGAACTTCAATCGACATGGATAGCAGCGTTTCGATGTAAACATACGGTCGGACCGAGGTATAAGATCGAGATCGGTTCGGGGAGGGTGCCCTAGTATTCTTCGTGCTTGTTGCATGTTCTTGTGCATGCTGGGGGAGGCCTCGAATATGGCCAGCGGAGGGTCTCATGTTCTTGAAGGGTGTTCTTCTGTCTTAGGTCTGGCCGTACAGCTGTGATATACATTCCGACTCAGGAGCGAGTGGCAACACATTGGGGGTGCCTGTGAGGACGCAAAGCCACTAAGCGAGTAACCAGTGAGGGAGAGGAGGAGGACAGTACCAACACCGAACACATAACATGGCATGCGATGGGAGGACGCCGTACAAGAGAGCTCGGAGTACACGTGCAGGCGCACCCCTCTCCCCTCCCCTGGAGGTCCCTGGAGCCACAGGGAGCCCATCAAGCCCTCCATGATCACCCTCATGCTTCTCCTGGTCTCTGCTCTCTCCTCCTGCTCCTCTGCCTTCCCCGTTTCCCCCTGTAGGACCCCCCAAGGAGCCCCAGAACTTGTTACAGCTCCGTGGGACCGCCCAGAACTCTTCAGCCCCAAACTATCTAAAACCCTGCTCCTCGTCTGCTTCCTCGCTCGCTCCCTCTCTCCCCCTCCACCCCTCCTTTTCCCTTCCCTCCCCCTCCCCCTACGGGCCCTGCCAGGATACCAGCAACGAGTACGGGTGGTCTGCGGCAGGCCACCGCATCTACACGTTGTTCGTGTATCTCAGCACCGTGCCTCCTGGCTTTGGCGGCGAGGAGGAGGCGGAGGAGAAGGAGACGGAGAAAAGGGAGAAGAAGCAGGAATCCGATAAGGACGAGGATCTGATTTGAAGGACTCGGAAGATGCGGATGAGGCGGAGGAGGATCAGAGTGTGGAGATAACGATGGTGACGGCGGCAGTGATAATGCCGACGATTCTGATTCTGCTTGTGTTACTAGTCGTAGTGATGACGATGACGATGCCAGTAGTGATAGTGATGGTAATGGTGGTGATGACGGTGATGATAATGAGGAGGAAGAGGAGGAGGAGGAGGAGGAGGAGGAGGAGGAGGAGGAGGAGGAGGAGGAGGAGGATCAGGGGGAGGATGAGAAGTAGGAGGAGCAGGAGGAGGAGGAGGAGGAGGTCTCCCATAGGGCGCTTGGCATGCTGCTGCAGCTGCCTCTGCTCCCACTGTTCCCTCCCCTCCTCCTCTCTTTGCTCCTTCT